TGAAGAATCTATTCATTAAAACTTTTTAGAATAAATCTCACTGTTTAAAGAGTAAAATCTCACTCTTAAAAAAGTTAAAAAACTTTTTCAAAAACAATTCTTTTTTCTTATTTTAATTATTTACTCTTTAGCATCAGGTTCCACTCAAATTTAAAGAGTATTCATTCTTTGTACTATTTTATATCTATATGCATTTTTTTCACAGGAGAGGCACTGGGTGCTATCGGTGAGCCAAGTGTAATTCCTCTGTTGGAAAAGTATCGCAAAGATCCTATACCTGAAGTAGCAGAGACGTGTGAATTGGCCTTAAACCAGTTGAGATGGTTAGACTCTAACAGTAATGCAAAGAACTTACAAAAAAATTCATTCTCAACCATTGATCCTGCACCACCGGCAGAAATAACAGATATAAAAGTCTTGAGAAATATTTTGTTGGATGAAAGCGAGTCGTTGTTTGACAGATACAGAGCAATGTTCTCACTGAGAAATTTAAGTACCAGAGAGAGCATTCTAGCTCTTACTGAAGGTAATTATATTAATCTAATCTACAAATATTAAATAAATATTAACTAATCGAGTTTTGTTTTTGCATAAAGGTTTGAAGACCGGTAGCGCCCTATTCAAACATGAGGTAGCGTTTGTACTAGGACAACTTCAAGACGAGATATCCGTGCCAGGATTGCAAGCATCATTGGAAGACACGGAGGAAAACGAGATGGTCAGGCACGAGTGTGCGGAGGCTTTAGGTTCCATTGCCACTCCTGAATGCTATGAGATATTAAACAGATATCTCAATGATAGTAAAAGAGTTGTTCATGAGAGTTGTGTAATCGCTTTGGACATGTGCGATTATGAAAACAGTACGGAATTTCAGTATGCCGATACGTTAGTCAAGCTTTCTACTGCGTGAAGAATTTTATTTATATTGTCATTGTGTTATATGTATTTCCTATATCGAATGAAAGAAGAGAAATATAAAACCTTTATCAAGTTAGCATTTCTAAAAATCAAAATACAATCTATATCAAAATTACACAATTTTCAATGATGAGGGTGTTAACTTGGCAAAGGTAAATGTAAATTATTCCTTTTAATCATAGTACATTTTTATGCGAAGTTTGCGTGAAATTCTAATCAATTCTAATGGAAAGCTAAGTAAAGAATTGTTACATTCTTTATATCTTGGACATACGTTTTCATTTCTTGCAGACCTAAATTTCCAATATTACTCCAGTGTATATTTTTTGCTATGAAAATAATAAGATAGGATGATATTTCATCAGTTTCAACTTTAAAGTAATATGAAAATTTAAGATAAACAATTTTTTTCCAGTGGCGTGCTTATAACTACATTATACAATTGCTTCTTGAGAAATCACAATCTATAATTATTCATAAGTGCTGTTCAGAAACATAAACGTTATTTCAAGAAATAGATAAAACATCATTCTACTCTACTGACGGATCTATAATTGTACATCGATATTCATTAACTAGGAATTTTCGTAATGACCGTGATTAAGAACTTCGGTATATCAAATCGATCGTAAGGGAAGTATGTGTTTTGTCATAACGTAAGATGACTTTTCTTTCCAAGAAAACGGTAAAATCGGCAGATTGAATTGCGGCATTATATGCGGGTGTACCGCTAATAGTAAACGAGCTTGATAAGACTCGCGATATGAACCGGGCATTACAAGCGAAATCGATCAACCGTTGCCGCTCCATTCCGTTTCTGCATTCGTCGCTGAAACTTCGTTTATTCGAAATTCTTTCTCTAATCGCCCGGAAGCGTGTCCGCTGGGAATTCCCCGTGATGGAATTTCGAAATTGTCCGTGTTCAGTTTCATGAATATCGCGTGCCGTCTCGCGCATTCATTGGCATACATTCGTTATAGCTTCTATCACTGCAAGCACACGTACAATCCTTCATACTTTCCGCAGTCAGCAAGATAAATTTTTTTTTTCGTTAATCGGTTTCTTACAACGTCAGGATAACATTTGGATAACATTTGGATCGATGAGGAGAGAATCGTCGAGAGGAAAGATTTTTGATTCGCGAAAGAGGAGAAACTTTCCTTGGACTGAATAATGAAGCGATTAATCAGAGTCAGTAAAGCAAGACTGACGCATTGTAAATATTAGACAAACGGATATAGCTCGTCAAAGCTTCGATGACTAAACGCAAGCAGGATATACTTCACAAACGAATAATTAAGATATCCACGTGCAACATTACTTTCAAACGTAATCTTCAAAATAATCGCCGAAATGATAAAAGATTTTTGCAATTCCACGACTACATCCATCTTCCATTGATTAACACATCGTTAGAGTATTATTCTACGCACTACGGGGTGGAAGACAATTTGCTGGAGTGTGCAAAAAAAAAAAACTCTACGTTCCTGTCTTCTCGCGCGAGGATACTTTGACGATGATTTATTTCTCTCGGTACCTCTGCCAAGGTACTCGCAACGCTACAGCTCGTTGTAAAGTATAAGACGATTCTCTCTCGCTAAAGTGGGGAGAGAGACGGACGGGGGTGGTCGATATTAACTGCGAAGCAGTTCCTTCCTCGATGGAGAACGCGGTGGCGAATAGTCACATGCCAGCCGCGGTCGAGTGCATACTCTCGCCGTCATACCCGCGCGTTCCATCGCCGCTTCACATAAAGTAAGCTTTATCGCCAATTAATTACAATAAGCAATAAATTAATAATTACAATAACTCGCCAAAGTGCGCCGACAACATCGCAATTGCATTTCTAAGCGACTACCATCATTTTCTTATATCATCTTATCAGCAGAATTTTCTTAAATGCTTATCTTTATTTTCTTACTTTTATGTTTGCATTTTCTAAACAACAATTTTTATTCAAATGCATTCTGTTTTTTATAATTTTTCATAAAACTTCAAAAGTACGAATAACTCCTGTGAAGCTATATTTTCACAATTGCAATACTTTTGATTGAGAGACGTTGACTGATTAGGTCTTTCAAAATTTTTAATAAAATTTTGAATATATGTGTTTAATATTTTAAATTTTTGTGAAATGGAAATATTTTGATATTTTTAAAATATATTATACAGCTTTTTAATAATTCGCAAGTTACATAAATTTGTTTTTATACCATCTATAGATACTATCTATAGAAAGTATACTTTCTTTTCTCTCTTTTTCTTATTATTTTAAAAGTCATATGGAATATTTTTAAAGATATCCGATTTAAAATAATTTTGCAAATAATTTATGAATAAGTTATGAAATATTCTATTAATAAACATTTCCTGAAAAATATAGAAAGATAAAAGCAAAAAAAAATTAACTTTTGTGAGATTAATTATAAATCTTAAAAATCAAGAAAATTTCCCTTAACTTCTTTCTGTATCCTTAACTTCTTTTCTTTATTTTGAATTCTGTAATTAGAATTAATTAAGAATAGTAACATAAAAGTTAAACAATTATTTCCAGAATGGAAATAACTAATTACAATTCTTTGGAGATCGAGCTTAAGATTAAAAAATTTTATAACTTCGCTTGATAATCCTGATAAAATTCTGTTTACAAATTTTCTTAAATTTTTCAAACAGACTATATATAATAATCTTATAATTAATATCAAGTACAGTACTTCGTCTTTGATTGTCCACTATTAAAGCTTTTAAAAAAAGCAGGAGAATTTTAATTATTATCATGCATGTCTCAAGGAAATATATAAGGAGTACGCACGTTTTACCCTGTATTATGCAATCGCGTTTCGTGTGTGCTACTTTTTTACACTGGGTTCATGTCGTGAAAGATTTAATGATAAACTTGGCGACTTCCCTCTCGCGAGGTGATTTTTCCTTAAAAGTATCGGTTTACCCACATAATATCGACGCAATTTTAACGTTAATATTGTTCAAATATTTCTATCATCTTTCGGCTATCAGATACGATGATCAGGATCAGATGGGGACATTTTTTACCTCCGTGTAAAATGCGCGTATATTATACATTCTTGGGAAAAAGACAAAGCGGAAGACGTGCACCACTTGACTGCGTTTTGATCGGTTTTTCTTATTTACGAGACAACGCGTTCGTGAATTATGCACTTTGTTTCGCAAGTGATACCATTCATATCGCATGACAAGCTCTTTGACAGCGATAGCTGTCTTTGCAACGTCAATCGTACATCATACATCCCGGAAGCAAAACAAACGTCAGTCATTCACCGTCGATTCCGAAGGAAGTCGTGACGGTGATGAGGAACTGTAGGATGATGGACGTTTAGAAGGACTCGACTTCTCTCATTCGAGTAATATCGAATATAATATTAAAGCGAGGCGCAATCAGGTGCGAGTTGCATGTTCCTTCACTAGTGCGGCTTCTCTCGCTTCGGACGTCACAATCCAATATACTTACAAACACGATAAAGGAGTCTTAATACGTTAAATTCAATTCGCGTACCAGTGAAATAGCAGATTTTACGTATTCGTGTGATTTTACGTTTCACCCTAAGCTTTAAATTGCTATAAAAGCTCCGGTAATTCCACGACTGGGATTGCACATTCGCTACAATTTTTAAGAAACCTCGGCCTTACATGTCGATCGTTAAATTGGCATACTTTATGTCAGCACATCCGATCTTTATAATCCTAGTTAAGTTAGTTAACTTAGTAATAAGAATCGATCTACCTTTTCCTTGTATTACTATCATTATTACACTACTATCAAACCCCTTTTTCTACCTTCGATAATCTTAAGAAGCTACCTGCCAGTTTTTTCACAATTTATGTATAGGAAGATTTACGGAGGAGGGGCGCGAATATTAATCTTAAAGTTCAAAGGTAAAGGCGAGAGGATATATCAATTTCGTACGACTTCATGCAATTTTACTTTAGCATAGCAATCGCACATATATATGCCACTGGGACCGTCGATGAATGGTGAGGAGCCAAATTCGCAGGAGATCATGACGGACAATCGGTGGTACCCGAAGGACGAGACGTAGGGGGATATGTCCGGTTGCTTGTCGTCATCTATGACAGGATCGACAGATGCGGGGCCGCTGCAGCCCCAGGAAGAACCCGCTTCGCTTCCCGTCGCTCGACCATCGTCCTTGTCGGAGGACAACGGTTCGTCCGCACGGCGAGGTAGTCGTCATCGTCACCAGTCGCGACGTAGGATGACGTCCGCTCCGCCGTCTGGGCAAGCAATACAATTGACACCTCTTTGGGAACACGTGGTACGTTTGGGATAAGAATATTTTATACTCCCTAAGTTCTTTAGAGTGGAAAATATGTAAAGAGTGAAAATTGAGCCAGTCTTGAAAAAGAGTGGTTCAATTTCAAGAGTAAAATTTCACTCTTCAAAGTGAGACGCAACTAAAAGTTTTAAACTGAGTTTTCTTCAACTTTTCGGTAAACTTCAGCTCACTGTCTTACTCTCTTGCTCTCTTATTCTCTTATGCTCTTACTGTTCTCTTTAAATCTCATGGAATGAAATCTCGCTCGAAGAGACTGAAAATTTAGAGAAGAGAATGAAAATGCGGCCACTCTTGTTCAAGATTTTCACTCTTTTTAGAGTGAGATTTACTCTTTTGAAATGAGATTCTTTATACCAAAAGAGTGAAATCTCAATCCCTTTTTGAACAAGATTGGCCATATATTTCCATTCTTTTTTCAAGACAGGCTAAATTTTCAGTCTCTTCGAGTGAGATTTTACTCCATGAGATTTAAAGAGTTTTACTCTTTTGTTTATCCAATAGGTAAATTTTCACTCAATATAGTTTATCTGAAGATAGAACAACCCTTAGAGAGTACTCTTGCCGCGTATTTCTACGTGTTTTATCTCCTAGTTTTCCTTTTTGAAAGCGAATCAATTTGACAAGCTGATTGTCTTTGGCCAGGTGCGTACGCGTAGGTTTCCGTCCGAAGTCGACACGCAGGCCACCTTCATCGAGATCTCCGAGAGACTTCGGGATCCGGAATGGGAGGTTCGCCAACACGCCCTGCGGGTGCTGATGGACGTTTTACCAACGTTGAACACCGATGTCGTTGACAAGGTCATGCAACCAGTGGTGCCGGAGCTGATCAATAATTTGGGACATCCAGCGCCGGCGGTTCGTAAGGGCGCCTTGGACACGCTGCGGGTCTACCTGGTTCATAGCCCCAACAGAGAAAACATGGTTAAAAACGTAAGCGCCTGTAACTTATTTTTTTTCACCTTCTTTTTTTTAGCTTTCTTTTAAATCTATATTTATCACCTTTCTGGATCTAAAAATTTTATTTCTTCAATTAACTGGAAATTTACCAAAGCATTATTTCATAATATTTCGATGAACGATTCTTTTCTATAAATAAATTTTAAGTTTAATTGCTTCTAAATCCAAATACTGTACGAGTTTCTAAAACTTCTCTATGGTCTCTTCTAAAACTCGTTTATGGACATTTAATTTTTATGAAGATAACGATATCAAGAGATACTTTCATTTATTTCAGATCCTTCACGACGGTTTGAATCGCCCGGATGCTCATAATCCGTTTCAAACAAACGTGACGACAGGCGTGATCCTGAGCGCACCTCTACTGCTCTTTCCATCCTCGAATAGTCCTCCTCCAACAACGCAGATCCTGAAGGATGCCACGATCGCCTTCGCCTCGCGATTGGTCCAGGTACCACATCAAGAAGCCGTTCTGAAATCTCTCATGAAGATCCGTGACGCAGTCGGTGAGGAAGAATTCGAGAGTTACTTGGCAGATTATGACGACAAGTTTAAGAAGAACATCGATGTTCTCTCCAAAATCTACAATATCAAGTCGACCAAAAAGAAGCAAGATAAGAATCGCAAGCAGGACATTATGAAGGCTGATAAGAAAGAGCGCACCTTCGACAAATCCTGGGATAGCGACAGCGACACTTCTGGTATCGCCGAGGAGGAAGACGAGATACCACCGTCGAGAGTCGTTCTAGAGACCGAGATCAAGTTCAACGAGGAGACGGCCATCACGATGACAATCCTGGAGGAAAAGGACGATGATGATAGCGAGGACAACGAAGGGAAGAAAAACAAGATTGGTAACGATATGATGAACGGGATCATTGAGGAATCATCGTCCGCAGATAAACGCAGGACACCCAGACGCGTCCACTTTGGCGGCGAGATCGTGAAGCTAAGGACACCCGACAGCGACGATACAGAATCGATCGAGATAACGCCCAAGACGAGGATCCCACTTCCGGTGTCGCCGGCCACAAAGATGCCGGAAATGATGAGGAGACGACCATCATCGCAACCCTGCAGTCCTCACATAGAGAAGCGAGGATCAAGGAGGGCTTCCAGGTCGGCATCCAGCAGTCCCAAGAGAGAGTACACGCACAACGCGCAGCTGAGTCCTAAGAAGAGTATTCTGACGAAGACAGGTGGACCTTTAATTGTAATCAATTCGGCGACGCCGACGGAAGAAATGAAGAACGCGAAGAAAATTAAAAAAAGTAGTGAAACGATTCTAGAAAGTGAAGCCCCTCGCAGTAGTTTGCAAGAAACTAATGAAATATCAAAGAAAGAAGAAATTATATTAGTTCAGACTACTCCACCGTCAGCAAATAGTGAAGACAACTTGACAATAAAGAGCAAGGATGAAAATGATCTGTCTAAATCAGTTCAGGTTGCAACGATAGAAGTCTCGAAAAATATATCTTTGAAGGGGGAGCAAGCGATGATTCTTAAGAGAGACAGTAACGCGGACACGATTGATCCGAACAGAAGCAATATTTCTGAAGCCTCTTCGAGGCAAGAGAGGAATTACGTGACGACAAAATCATCAAGTCCAGAACGGAAGAAGACACTCCGAGATAAGGACGACAGCTTCGAGTTAGAAAGGGAATGTTTGAACGAACAGAAGTTGTCGGGAAACAGTTTGTCTCGCAGGTCCAACAGTTTCCCTTTCGGATCGCCAGTAAACGAGTGCAATGCTCAAATAGATCGTCTGATCGACGACGACTTCATCGACGATGACGACGAAGACGATGAACGGGACGTGCGTACCTGCGGCATGATTACGGACGATCGTGCGGTGACTGTTGTGAACGGCGAGGGACGAAAAGAGTGGCGCAGCCAGTACGATAAAAAGGAAGGGAATGCGTTGGAGGGGAACGAAAGTGTCACTTGTAGTAGCAGCGAGGGCGAGGGCAAACCGCAGGAACCCAGCTGGGAGGAATTGGGGTTGGTTGGCCAGGAGGTGTTGGATGACCTGCACAACAAGGTAAAAGATCGGATATTTCCGCGATTAAGAAATACCAATATTTTATGCGCGTGCAAATTTATTACGTAAAACTTGTTTAATGAAATACTTACAATTAATATAAATGCGTTCTTTTGATATATGCAATGCTTAGCATATATTATCTCCCTCGTCGAAACTTATGGTTATAAGCAGTAACTATATTTTTGGCATCACTCGTCGAATTCCTCAAATAATATTGTATTAAACTGATTAAAGTATTGATATTTTAATGCCGGATTATACACAATTATATATAGATTATAGAAATTATATACTAAAGTTGATTCGCAAATAAACAAAGGAAAGAGATCTTTAAAACTATGAACGGATCCAGTTAATTCAGTTGAGCTTATATAATATATAAACTTCAATATATTATATATTACAATTAGAAAAAATCGTGATCATTCTTTGAAGAAATTCAAGTTAGGTGCGACTTTGTGGAAATTCGCGTGAGATTCAGATTTGACACCATTCTTGCCGCGTGTTAGCAGGGTAATGCCCTGCTTCAGATTGTCGCGATCCTTGACGATTAACGTGTTCACTTGAGGACCCTTGACTTTAGGACAAACCGCCGGTCCGATACATTAAGTATGGTGAGAAGTAGGTCGATCGATTTTCGTCGTCGACAAAAGTTCGTCGCGTGACGTAACGTGATTTAAGCTCCATCAATTATCAGGATTACGTGTGCGCGTGTACGGGCTTAACGTACTTTCCTCTTTTGTTTTTTTTTTTAATCTTACGAATGAGATGCCTGCTCTGTGGGCCATCGATGGTTTACATCAGTGTTCTAGACACGATAATTATTATATTATTATAAAAAAAAATTGTGTTTAATAGACTGTTGACACGAAGTTCACTCGATCAATTTTAATTAATTAATAGACGTAGCGTATTCGTAGTAAACGTCAGGTGAATAATCGAATAGTTCAAAGTCCAGCCTTAACTTCTCATATAGCCTTCGCACCATCTCTTTGTTTAATTGACTGAAGTATATCTTGGAGGTGTTAGCGTAACTGTTACTATGTCTCCATCTGGGCTTGATCCTGTTTTGCAATCCTAATTTATTGATCGCATATACCTGATCTCTCCACAGCGATTCCACCTGCAAATATTATTATTACATTACAAGAGCTTTAAAATAATCGCTGGTATGACGTTTCGTTAAAAATTTCAATACATATATATCTAACACTTTTGAAATATTTGGTACTAATAGAAATACCGGGTATTATTGACTATTTCTACTTTTTAAATTAATATTATATGTTTTGTATAAAAAGCTATAATTTTTAAATATTTTCAATAATTAATGTTAATATTATATGTTTTGTACTAATGAAATATTTAGTTTTTTATCACTTTTTTTATTTTCACAGTAATTCATTCGTTTGATACTTCTATTACTCACAAAGTAGCATAACAGCGACTACAAAGTGCTGAAAAAGTGCTTATATGCTTTTTTAACGCTTTATAGCCTCTGTGTGCTACTTTTAGTGTTAACGCAAAATATTACAAGATTACGACAATCAGATGCGAATTTCGATACCTTCGCGATGATATCGTATTTGACGAGGCACGGCGTGCAAAAGAGATAATATGGCATCCAATGATCGTCTCCGTAACTGCCTAGGTCAGTCTCGATCATGTATTCGACGAACTCTCGGAAAGTCGGTTCCACCCCAGCCGGCGGCGGTGCACCCTCGCGTCGGATCACTTGATTCAGCTGTGGCTCCGTGAAATTTTCTTCTGAAAGTTTATCGGATTCATTGCTGTTCTTTGTCTTTTTCTTTAATAAAATTAAATAAAATATATCCAACACGTTTCCAAAACTCAAAACTTAACCCTTCAATCAATGGATACGTAGATATCGAAAATATAACAGTAAAAAATTATATATTATGCGAATTTTGTTATAACACCTAAAAAATTATCCTACATCTTTCGAATAGCAAAGAGCGGTTTGGCACAGACTTTATCTCGTTTTCATTTCTACGTTTTTAACGAAAACGTTATGAAACATGATAATGAAAAGGTGAAAAAGTAATTATTTATCGGCAGAAGGATTAATCACGAAAATAAAACTGTCCTTGCGATAACGGTTGTCGTGCAGAGTGAAGAAAAGGATATTTAGTCAACATTTAGTTTCTCCCTCATCTCTTTTCTTCCCACGACTTACTACGATACTTCTGCACAATCTTGGCCCCGAACTTGCGGTAGAAGTAAAGCGTCCCGTGTTCCCGTCCGGCGATGGAGTTCTCTAATTTATCACGATAGGCGCTTAACAACCTCTCAAAAGGATGCCGCACGACTAACAACTTTCTGCTAGTTGTCAGAACGTGATCGGCTTCAGGATACTCAAGTTCCGGTATCGCTCTCCTAGCGATAGTCGACAGCTGCTCTTTACCGCTGTTCAGCGTCTCCTCGGGTACGTTCATTAACAGACAGAGATTGTAGAGCCAGGTCGTGGTGCCGGCTTTATACACCGGACAGTACGATATGTTGTGTACTCTGCGCAGAAATCATCATCTTGATACCTTGACACCTTCGATAAGGATCGGTCGTTAATAGTCAAAATATATTTTCTTCTTCTTTTCTGATACTTTTTACAAACCTATCCATATAGAAGACGGTATACTGCGGCGCAGGTGGATGTTTGAATAGAGAGTCATCGGCGAGCTTTCGATAAAACCCCAAGTTATACTTTTTACAAACTCTTTCAACGTTCAACGATCGTCGCGTGTTGTCCGCTTCGACCTCGATCTGAGATAAACGATTCAGAATTATATCGATCTCCTTGAGATTTTAAATCTCTCAGTGACTTACCATCAGCTTTCTCAGATCGTCGTCGATGGGAAGAGGTCTGCTCTCGTCGCCAATAACGGCGAGAGATAGCTTCAGCGTCAAGAAGACAACTCCAAGGCAGACGATGATTTGAAGTATCTTGAAGAGCGCGCGTTTCCGCTGCCGCGACATGATTATATCGGTATGGCGAGATGTGGTTCTCACGTTCACAGTTTTTTTGCGAATATATCATTTGGCGTATCCTCCGCTTGTGACTTTTCAACGGTGGAATTTTCTAAAACCCACGAGACGAACATTCTCTCTGCCTTCTGCCGAGGCAACTGACTGACCGGTTTCATAAACCGTTTCCCGACAGTGATGGATCTAAAGCACTGCCAGCCCCAAGCAATCTATTTGGTAATAAACGATTCTAGCAAAGTATTTGTTATAAATGCGCCATCATTTTTTATGACTTTTTGGATTCTATCAGCATATATTGAATTTATTACTTCACAACGAACTGTTCTAATGTCTCCTATAATATCTAATATCTAACATTGGTTGCAGATGTTAAAAGTGTGCCAAAGTTATGTACATATAGCTGTATTTTAATTTCTACTCCATAAAGCCTTTTATAGTATTTTAATCAATTTTGACAAGAGATAGGAAAGATAGGTAAACCAGTCCGGTAGATAAGTCCACTCCTGAAATTTGAGTGGGGAATGTCATGGTCAAAGAATTCCATGTTCTAGCATACTAATTCCGTTAGCTCAGCTGTTCAATCGCTCTCGGTAGCGATCATATAACTTTTTAATAAAAATGTTCGCTTTTCATGTTTCCGCCCGAGGGAAAAAGTTACACGATCGCCTAATAGAGACCTAAAACCAATACGATGAACATTCGATTAATTAAGAAATTAATCAGCGATAAAATTTATCACTGTCAATCTGAAAAAGTCAATCTTAAATAGCTGATATAGGCTGCTTTTCTTTTAAGAGGCACAGTCATCAAGTATCATTCTATCTTTGTTATTCATTAAATATGCCAAGAATTAAAGATAGAACGACGTTTGCGTCGACTGTGTCTTCTAAAAGAAAAGCAGTCGTAGATCAGTTACAATAATATGAGACCAAGGCTGCTAAATTTGTATATAATAAAGAAACATTGTACTCGCGGTACTAATACATATATGATTAAAGTTCCAGCAACGATCACCGTTATACGCCTTATGTTCATTCAGTGAGTAACTTCAAGGTCGCTGCACCGGCTGCACTAGACCTTTTTATGAATGCACGTGCGACCTCGTCGACGCGCGTCTACGAGAGGCCTGTGAAAATAAATACCGATTCCACACGATCGATTTCCGTGGGACGTCGTTCGTCGCAATCAAGGGAACAGAATATATATGTATATATATATATATCTATGCGAATACATATATATATATATCTTGAACAAGCCTTCGACTTATTCGCAACATCGTACGCTGCATAATTAATCCGCGATGTCACCTGCGGGTTCTATCTCACCTGGGCTAGCTGCTTTCAATGTAAAGTCGATTCTCGGCAAAAATTTAAGAGTTGCTTGACGTAATCTTTTTTTATTTAAATATTTAAGAAATTAAATTTGCAAGTAACGTTATTAAAGAATGTTGTTATAGAAGCAGAATTTTTCGAAACGAAAATGTATGTTTTATGATCTCTGCCCCTACAGCACAAAATTGCATAAAAGTTGCAGAAATACTAGAGAAATTTCGTAGTGCTATTGCTGCAAATTCTGTGCTGTATGAATGTAGATTCCATACACAAATCATTTCAGTAATATCCCTGTAAGCGCAAAATATTTCTGGAATGTTATATGGTTATTATTAAAAAATTAAAATAAGTTATTATAACATTTCAAAAATACTATATAATATTTTTTTAATATTATGAGAGTATTTTATAGAGGTTATATGTCCACTTATATAATATCCTAGGTATTATATCTTAATATTATCCCTGAAATATTATTAAAATATTTATAAATATTAATTATTCTTAATTTAGTGCAATTTGAATTCACAATCCAGTAACGAAAAGTTCTTATCAATATTTATGCTGCATTTTGTACGAAAAAAACGTTTTCGCACAATGATTTTAAGTACATATCCAGTTCTACAAATTAAAGTAAATTTTGTTATGATACTTTTTATTGTTTATACAATATTAGTACCATTAAATAATATTATTTTTAATAATCATGCAATATTATCGGGAGTGGACATATAATCTTCCATTAATATTTCGAGAATATTACTTAATATTATATAATTTTAGTACAATATTCTTAAAATGTTACATTTAATATTTTAAAAGTATGTCTAAAATATTACTTAATATCAAATAATATTATGCGCTTATAGAGATTGCAGTAACATTGCAACGTTACAGCTTCTGTGCGATACGAGGCTGCTATTCTTCCTAATTAAATCGCGAAATCATGATAATTTCGATAATTTATGAGAGATGCAAAAATCCTTCGAGGACGTGACTTTTCCTTTCTAATTGATTCGTGATGAGAATAAATAATGTCACTTCTATTCTTCTTTACGCGCGATGTAAAGTCGAGTTTACGAGCGCAAACACTCTTACGCCACGCCGCGCGATACGGGGCTCTCCGAGGCTGATATCAGCGCCCGTATGAATATTCCGCGGGTGAAAAACGACGAGAGATCTACCTCGCGGATCGTTATGCCAGGGAAGGGCGTATAAGAGAGGGCAAACGCGCTCTGTAAGCCGCAAGAAAATAATTAGGCACGTGTTGCGTGCCACGTCGTTCAGGTCCAGGAAGGCGTCATTCCCGTGTATATGCAAATCGTCGGCAATTGTACCCGTCGCGTTGCACCGACGTGGCTGCAAGTGCAATTTTCAAACTGTTCTCTGATTCATTTGTGGCGCAAGTAGGCAGATATATATCGATAGATAGACGCTCCGATTTAGACTCGTCACCTTCGTCGACTCGAACTACGTGCCTTCAAAAAAGTGAAAACGGATGGGAACGTTAAAAAAAAAGTATCGAAAAGGTAATCGCATACACCGACCGTGAGGAATACGTTAAAAAAATATTAATGCGAGGTCCGTATATCGATTTCGCGGTTATAGAGCCTGATAGAAGTGCACGCGGTGAGAATGCGGATGTATTGCGTTCAGTTCCGCTGCGGCGATCAATAATGTCGACTGTGAATTTCTAGCGACACTGCTCACCTATTTGTAATTGTACCTGCCGCATGAGGAATTCTTTTCTGATTTATTTTTATTAAGGGGGACGAAATAGAAGGAAATCGCGAAAGTAGAAGAAACTCAAGTAAGACTTGGTAAGAAAGATGTATACGTGATTAGAGGTGACTCACATACGAAAGTAGCATTTTAGCGATTAGACACTCAAGTATTTGACCAGTTAATCCCGAGAACAGCCGGATAAATACGGCTTATTCTTATCACGTGTAATTGTTAGGAGATTTGCATGTGCACGCGAGACGATTCCACGATAGACGAATGAAATCGGCGAAATTGATCTTACGATATAAAATTAACTTTTATTTGTCAGACATTTCGGTGCGTGAACTGGCGATCTTCTTTCAACAAGGATACATTTTTAAATTATTTAAGTAATTAATACTTAACACTATAGAATCGTCGATATTCCGCTAAAACTGTCGAAGGTGTTAATTTAATAATTTCCTTGTTTTTATTTATTATTGAAGATTTATTTCGATATTATTTATTTCATTATAACTATTTATAATATATTTTCATATATATATATTTTTTTTTTTTTAATATTTTGTACCATATATTTAATACAAAAGAGAAAAGAATTGAAATGATTAGCGGAGCCAAAATGTACCACCATCGGCGATTCTAATGTTAAGCGCACAAAACACTAATAAAAATTTAAATATATTATTTAAAATACGAAGCACCACTACGGTCTGAATGTTAAGATATGTTAAACTATTATATATATTCATTTAAATGAATTTAAATATTCAAAATTTAAATATTTATATGTTACATAAATAAATTTCTCCCTTACCACGCAATTAAAATGAGGTAACACGTGTCTATAACTTTTATCCTTGCGGTCAAATATTTGATGATGTCAAGGTGTAACTGATAAAATATCACATCGAATGGGTTTGTTTGACGATTACAGTGTATGACGTGTCGCAAGAATTTCAATCATCCTTTCGTCTGATATCTTCTGTCACTTTTGCAGGACGACTGGCGAGCTCGTGTCAGAGGTCTGGAAAGAGTTGCGTCGGCTCTGCGAACGTCCTCGGCGCTAATCGCGATAGAGTCGCGATTAGGATCGCTCTTGCATGCGGTGCTCGGCGGCGAAAGGAGCTGCCGCGTGGCCGCCGCCGGCTTAGCGGTAGCGAAGGTGAGCTCGTAACTCCTCGCACCTCCAGATCGCCCTTAAATACATCGAGATTTAAGTCGGTATTCATAGTCGGATCTTATATTTAAGAAACGTCTTAAGTATAATGTCTTAAGATGCTAGTGTTCTCTGATCGGTCCATGACATCTCAAGACTGTACTTAAGATGGTCTTAAATATATGATTCGATTATGAACACCATCCTTAGGCTAATTCATTGCTGACGATAGTCGCCAGCGGATAACACTGTGAATCTTGTTATTAAGTAATATGTACCCTGCGCGATAAAACGGGATGATAACTGTCAGTTTTAAACTTTGACAACTCCTAGTCAACCTCGATGTTTAAAAAGTTTCTTTTCAAAGCCGAGTTTAATTTTAACAATTTACTAAATTTTAATACATATTTCCTTGAATAGTGCTAAGGTAACATTTACAGTGAATAAATATTTACTAAATAAAAAAGAAGATAGTTAAATGAATTAATGGTGTTTGTATATTAAATAAATGTATGTTTAGTAGAGATTATTCAGAACTATTCAAACAAATATTTATTAAAATTTAGTTGAAAAATTTGTTACTCAAGGCCTTTAAAATTTACTGAGGGTTTTGGTACCGCGAGATTTTTGTAAGCTTACGATATCGATACCCGTATTCTTGGCCTTAGAAGCATTTAAACTCGAGTTATCAAGTTTTAAAGCGCAAGCAGCAAGGACACCTATACGACATGTATATCCATGTGCGAGAATTGCGTAAAAGACACTTTTCCGTGATGCGGAAGGAAAATAATACTCCGTAACTTTTTTATAATACCAAAGGTTTATGACGTGTTGTTATTCAACTTTTCTAAAGCTCATATTGTTAAACTTTTCTAGAACTATACTTTCGCATGTATTCTTAGAAACTTTATATTTCAGGTTGTGGTCGCCGGTGTCTCGGAGGATGCACTAAGAAAGAAATTGCCGCAGCTGGCCTGGGGCCTGGCTAGACAGGGTGGTCCATCCGCGGCGCAGATCGCTCGAATCGCGATGTTACGGCTCAAACCTAGCCTGCTCTTGGAACAATTACTGCAGCCGCATTGTCTGAGCGCCAGAAACACTAAGGTACTCTCTAAATTCTTTGGGGTGGAATCACCCACTTTAAAGAGTGAAAATCGAGCCAATGTTGAAAAAGAATTTGGATAGAGTTCCGAAAAGGTGAAACCCCCCGATTTTCTTGCAACCGGACCTCACTCTAAAAGTTTTTAAGTAATTTAAAACGTTAATTCGTGTCATTTCGACACTAAATTCGTTGCTTTTACGCAGACAAGAGAGAACGCGTTGCAGCTGCTGATCTTCTCGCTGGTGACGTTTCCCAGCACCGAGTTCAAGCTGGAAATCGTGGCCAGCCGAGTGGCGGCGATGGTCGCAGATCGGCGACGCAGAGTACGCCAGGCTGCGCTCGACACCTTGGCTGTTTTAGGACAGATCTACGATTCCGAGGTAAAACTATCTTAGATTTGAATGGTTAAGTCCATGGCACACAGAAAAATGTACGGCAATAAGAAGACGTAAGCAGTAGCTAAACGAATCGGCCAATCGGCAATAAAGACGTAAGAAATAGCAAATTCATTAATTCCAAATATTGATTTATTTAAGTACCGCTTACGTTTTTCTTGCTGCTTAAACTTTTTATGTGCCATAGCCTTCACGGGCTTTCTATGATAAGCCCTTACTTAGGGTTTGAGTCTTAAATCGTAAGAAATTGATCAATATCATACAAAAGATTATTCTTCTCACGTTCGACTGCGATTAATCAATTTTTTAAGCTTAAGACTTAAAACTTAGTAATGGCTTATTGTGGAAAGCCCATTAATCTTGAGCATTGGACAGAATAACACCTCGTTCATTTGTAGGAGGTCATTGAAGCGGGAAGACGGGCGGGTGAAGGAAATCCCGACGCCGAGGCGATGCTGGCCGCCATCAGAGCACGGCTGGCTAGGAAGTCACTACCCCTGGTGTCGGCCGATGGTCTCGTGGTGTACGGTTTGCAAATTTCACCGACTGTTCAGATCGCTACTGGTAATAACAACCGGGAATAAACGAGCAAAGCATAATGCACCCGCGCAGATAAAATCTTACGACAAAGTATAAGTTTCATTGAGTACGGCGGTACTCTAAAAAGGAAACTTTATTGTACGATAGTTGCGTTGTTACAATAGAAACTTTGCTGTATCGTTATTTATTCTAATAAAGTTTTATAAAACAAAAAGATTTTGTATGATTAGAAGGTATTGTGATACAAGAGTATAACGTAATAATATCACAGAGCGCAGTCAATAAGTTAATTCTCCCTTTATAGCTGCATAGAAGAAATCACGTAGTTACATTTCTAATAAACGTTTGAAAGCAGCCACGACATCGCGTGACATTTTAATGTAAAACGTAAAGTTGGATATTACATGATTATCTGTATATGTATCATAAAGCCTATTCTCTTAATTACACATATTATGGTTCTTCTTTTTTCTTCAAGCGGACATACATTTATATTATATCATTTTGAATACGACGCAAGTGTAGTTGAAAATTTTTGTTTGATAAAAAAATCCTTAATTGTAAACATATTTATATTTACTTAACATGCGTCTTTGATTTTTACGAGACGTCAATTTCTCAGGTCCTGATGTCGATTGGATCGTGGCGGGAAGCGGTTCAGTCTCACCTGGCACTGGTCGTAGTAGAGGTCAGATTATCGCCACGTCCAGATCGGCACAGGGTAGAGCATCCAGGTAATTGCACGTGATTATTCGAGAAAGCTCGGAATATATATTTGCCTAAAATTGCCTGAAATGTCGTGTCATTTTAGAAACGATTTTCTAAATAACCGCGAGAGTCCGTGGATAGAGAGACCCAATCTCGTTGCCTTGGGTGTCGGACTACAATCCAAGACTGAGCAATCGACGGCCTGGCAGTCGCAAACTAACGTAAGTTGAATCGCATATCTTCTATTTTACTTCTCTCGCTTCTTATACGAGCGTGTATTCTTAAATAAATGTATATATATATATATATATTGATTTAAGAAATCGGTTTGTAAATAATATAAAGAAAGATGGTAATAAATTTCAAATTTTATAACAGAATTTTATATCGCAACGATTTTATGAATTTATATTTATTTTTACGCGTTTTATGTTTAGCAAAGAGTATCTAATTGGCGTATTATTAACAATTCTCAGGAACATTAATAATACCACTTTATACGAAAAGTATTATTGATTTCTCATTAAATACGGCGCGATGTATTGCACGTTACTTTTTCAATGTCATTATTGTTACTTATCGAGATATCAGCTTTGCAATGCAAATATCGAAATATCAAATACACAACGAAGCAGGAAGTAGCGACAGAATAATACATCTTTTCTCTCAAGCTTCATTTTGCATATCGCCTCGTACGTTCATAAGTATTTCTCAAGTGTGAATTATGAGTAAGGAGCTTAAAACACGAAAGGCATTAACTCTCTGCGTGATTCAATAACATCATTTTTCGCAATTACATTTGCGTCTTATGTTAATTAATATCGTCAATATTTACGAGATGAATATTTATAAGTTAAGTTTCATAAAGTCGTCAGTATAACGTGAAAGAGAATGTTACTATAATAAGGAATCTTAAAAAAATTTAATATTTTATACACAGATTATTCTAAGAAGAAGTTTGTGATTTTATGTTAGCGGTAGAATTTGTTTGTTTTTGAACCAGGTTTCGATGACGTACCGCAGCATGAAACGCAGAATATTTTTAGGATAATAGGTTATTCTAATTTCTCATTTTTTATTTTTACGTACGAGCATCTCGAAACATGATGCAAGTAGACATGTCTCGAAATAAAATGTAACGATTATGTCGCGCTTAAAGATCACGTGTTTATCAAATACACGACAGGTTAGAATATCGCATAATTCAATCCAATGTCGTACTTAAGGAATATCCTTTTCTATTACAGAACAATGAAAATGATATAAAAGGACTGAATGGGCGAAATGCAAATGCGGGTAATGCAATTCCTCTTCGAATTCTATTCGAACTGATCACTTTGACCAGTCTGAGTAAATCTAACAAGAATTTGAAAGCATCATTCACATTTTCTAGGGGTGTCTTCAAATGCCAATTTAAGATTCGAGGAGCAATTGCGATCATTTTACACGCCATTGAATCAGTACGATTTTGTCGGAACGGATGCTAAGAATAATAGAGAGATTTCTGACAACTTCGAGCAAAAAACGCGAAGTCGCAGAGACATTAATGAAGTTCCTAAAGAAAAGGTAAGATTCTCTTATAGTAATATGAAATATTAAATTATTCTTGTCGCATAATTTATTAAAATTACAACTACAAAATATTATTACAAATACTTAATATGTATATAAAATGCAAAATAAAGACGTGTGTAAAATATATGCTTGCAGGAAAGTATTACTCTCAGAGGAGAATCCAGGATTCCAGTATTATTATCGCGTGAGCGTCCCAAAATAACATCGCAAAATCGTGAAAAATCCTTCAATTTGGAATATGTCAATTCTAATTCGCGAAAGCAAACGACAGATATGTTAGACAGTAATCGAAATCGAATAAATTTGCGACAGGAAAATGTCGGGTGAGCATCTTTGGTATCTTCGTAATAGAAGACACGAATTTATTTCAAATTAAATTAATATTACGTATATTTTGCGTTAATCGTGTACATAGATCGTATGCAGCGATATATCAACGGCGAAAACGTTTTCAACAAGAAGAAAGTCAGATTTTAAATCAAACATTTGATTCACATACTAGTGGTTATCGGCCAGCCTCTTATACGAAAGCTTTGGGAACAAATAGAGAATACAATGTAAGTTAAATATTTCAAATTCTCATTATTCTCTCATTATTCTATTTCATTATTCTCTCGTTCTCCATAGAAGAAAAATTATAATTTCGATATAGAAAGTAATTTTTAATTTTTTTTTTCATCGTATACGATTATTCTTCAAATATTAAATTAATTATATTAAAATATATCTCATATATAATGTCAATTGTATTATAAATTAAATTATTAAATCTAATTATTTAATAATCGATTTTGAGATTTGATAGATAAAAATGCAATTACGTTTATATAATTTTGTAGGATACTGCAGGAAACAGTGAGGCAATTTTTTCGGACGACAATTCGCACGGTTATAACAGATTCGTGGACACCGATAAATTTACGAACGAAAACGAAAGTTTTAATTACGCGGGAGGACGTCAACGTTCGCTATCCAGAAATATGCAGCAACAAACACTCGTCGAGGCGTGAGTTTTCAGGAGCAATCCCTTTTCGATTGAGAAAATATTTATTTATATAATTGATTTTGTTTTACAGATATAACTCGATTCTCGAGCGCCAAAGAAAGCTCATGGATAGAAATGTCTATCGGCCGTTACGAACTCCTCCAAATCCATCGACCCGCTTGTATCAGGACTCTCAGAATCTGGATACGCAAATTCCTGCGGATAGGAACGCGAGACACTGGGTAAGTAAATCGTCTTTTTTAATCTTACGATCTAAAATAAATCGGAATTTTTAGACTTGAATCCTAATTCTGACCCAAACAGTATCTTATCCCAAATCGCGACGATGTTTTTTACACTGATTGTGAGAAAAATTTCTGATTGAAAATAGACATTTTTTGGGGTGTCTAGAGAGATTCAAGCCTTTTAATTTTCGATTTAGAACTTGGTTTCAAATTCAGCGTCTTTAAATATCTCTAACACCAAATATTGATTTACATAAATCGTCACAGCCTAAGAATCGTAGAACGAAAGATGTGGCAGCGGCACAGCAAAGAACCGAGATGGACTTAATTTCATCAAATTCGCAGGAGAATAGGTGCTCTCTTTCAGAAAGTTTCGCCAGTCCTCATCGTAGAAGATTGCGATCATTATCCCCGTCACAACTCCACCGATCGCGACATTTTGTCAAATTGACTTCCAACAGATTTCACGCCGCGTCGATGTACGACATGTAAGTTCTTTGCTTTTCGTAGAGTAGAATTTTTAAAATAAAATTATCAGCACGCAATCATAAGATTCAATCAGCAAGAATTTTTCTCTCTTTTTGTTCTCTGTTTTTCTTAAAACGCTTCAGCAATCCCAGACAAAATCGATTCGGTCTTAAAATAACTTGCGAGCGAGATGTCGGTGTATCGTCACGCGAGATGATATGCGTAAACGTCGCCTACCAAACGTCGATGAGAGCTTGAGAGTTTTAAATTCTAAAATAAATCTACACTGAAAAGGATCACATGATCAAAATTGACGCTTGATATTCGTCAATTTTGACCACGTGGTCCTTTTCGTCGTAAAAACATCGATTTAAGCGGTACGTGAAAATGTACCCTAAAATAAGACTTGCAAGAATTTGCACTAAAGGAACAAAATTATCGGAGACTCGCTTCTAACAATATTTCACATGCTTAAAATAATAATATAAGCTCGTAATATAGCAATCGTAATATTATCGATCCGGCAAGGTACGCGACCTCATATTTCGCTTAATCTCAATCTTCCTACATGACACACATTATTCTTAAGACTTAACTTGTGTGGCAAGATCGTCGATAGAACGGCGGATTTTAGGTCGACAAAAATCGCCTTGCATGCCAGCGATTTTTGCAGCCGATATACTCTGATCGGCTCTAAATTTATACGTACATATAAGTGTGCAACTTTTCCGTTTCGTTGTCTCATCAAGATCGCAAGAATTGCGGCTTAACATTTAACCCGCCCTCATAAGGCTCGCAAAACATGCCACTATATCGCAAGTGGACTAGTTCTGACCGCTCGAATTAGTCGGTCGATAAAATTAAGAAAAAGAAAAAAGTATAAAAAGACGAAGGAAAGCGCGCGTTCCACACGATAGAAAAAATGCCTCAATCGTTTCGTCCTCCGTGCAAAAGTTATACAACTGAAAATTCGCAGTGCCTGGAAATGCAATGGGTATAATGACGCGGGTGCTGTGTGCATGGTGTGTAACATGCGGGACTATTGTAGATTGCGAAACGCCTTACTATCGTCCATTCCTCCTCATTGAATATTTTACGTCTAAGCCGGCACGCAGCCACTAATCGCTATTCAATATCGCTTATCCCGAAATATAATGTTATAACGACGAAGATAAAAAAAAAAGGATACTTTATGTATGAATCGCAAAAAATTGGCTTTGTCAGTATTGAATTCTCATCATCTGAATTTGATTCGCGAAAAGTAAACGAATTTCTCTCTGAAAGCAAAAAAATTCTCCGAGTGTGTAGACTCATTGCGTTGATTTCTTCGAAACGTCGCATCGATTTTTCGCAAGAGAAATTGCATGACTGAACCGATGAGACGTTCGGGAATTTCACTTTAGCGTGTCGGTAATTCGAATAAATTTCTAACCAAAATTAATTATGAATAATAACAGCCTCGTTTTTTTTTACATCGATGAAGTCGAATTTTAAATACAATTTTAATATCGTGATCTCCTTGAGGCTATAAGAAACTTGGAGTAGACTCGTGGAGGAAAAGCGATAAATGTGCTTGGCATCTTTCAACCTCCTTTAACCGCGTTTCACTCGGATCGCATGACTCTGCCAACCCTTCTTTCGTGACCACGTGAGGGGAGAAGGGTGAGTTATGGTCAGCCTGGTTTACGGTCTCGTAAACCTACTAAGGGAGCCTCGAAGGGGGGTGATATCTAAGTCTTCGTATTATAAAAAATTGTCCTTGAGACAAGAAAATTCAAAAGAGAACTTACACATTTTTCATCCATTCAAATTGAGCTTTTAATTTCACATTTTTATTATGATTGCAAAATTTATGTTTCAAATTCCTCATTTCCTTTGTACTCTCTAAATTCTTTGGGGGGGTGGAATCTCACTCTAAAGAGTGAAAATTGAGCCGGTCTTAAAAAAGAGTTCAATTTTGAAGAGTGAAATTTCACTCTTCAAAATAACAATTTATCCTAAAAATTTTACAGATTGTGTTATCACTTTTCGTTCGTGCATCTTTTATTCCTCCTTCTGTTCCACTACATTTTTTGCATGTTTTTAAAGATTAAAATCGCATCTCAAACTTCTCATATTATTCTCGTCCTTTTCTCTGCGGTTAAAAAGAAGTAACGTGCGGAGGTCGGGGAGGCGAGAACGGACATGGGGCAGGGGCGATGTGGGGGGTGGCGGTGGCAGCGGTCAGCGTCGGGACGCTTGCCGTCTCTGCTATGTGCCACAGTCGTGCGTACGTCGTCGATTGTTACAAGCGCGTATCCTTCGCAATTATAAAGTATGTCTCCTCGTCGTCGAACATGGTCCTCGCTCGCTATTTCCTGTCGCTCTCCATAAGAGGCTCTTCCACCGCGAGAAAATAATTGAGCGACAAATTAATTGAGCCCGTTTGACATTACGCGCGAGTGTCATCAATCTCTGTCGATTTAAATCGAATGACAGCGAGTGTAGCGAACGTAGAGCGTGCGTAGAGAACATGTGGACACGTGGATTTCGCACAGCTGCTCGCGTTACGCAAGGCTCGCCCTTGAAAAGTTGCTACTTGCGGATGGCAGAACGATGAGCATCTCGATCGAATCGCTGTTAGTTCGACGTACCGTACACGACACAGTCGTAGGATAATTGCGGATTCGACCGATTCGCGGGAATATGTGGCGACTTAACGCGACTCTCGAGTTGCGGTGTATCGTAAGATTGCGCGAATAGTATGTTAAAAAATGATATAATATATAAGACGAGAAACGTTATCCTCTAAATCTATTCTTATTTTAAGACCGTCGTAAGTGAACCTTAAAGGTGCTAAATGCAGCTCTCTCATCGGTTCATGACATCTTAAAATTATTAAGACAATCTTAAATATAAGAATCGACTATAAAAATACCGACCTAAAACTTTTTAGAGTGAATCTCACTCTAAGAGTGAAAGCCTGCTCTTAAAAAAATTATGTCACTCTTTTACGACTGGCTCAACTTTGACTTTTTAGAGATTTTTCAGATTTTATTTCAAAGAACTTAGAGAATAATAATATTTAGGAATGGAAACGTCCAATGCAGGAGTGAGTGAAATGGAATGAAAAAGAGTGGATTCGTAGACAAGATGTACGAGCGAATGTTTTTGGAATACACAAGTTTCTTGAACACTTGATCGATAACTAATCTGCAGCTCGATCTTTCACGTTTTGCGGTTCGGATATTCCAACGCATCGCACATATCGTGACACGCAGAGCGTTTTGATGGTAGAGCGTTCGCCGACGTTTGAAATTGTCATTAGTATCGATTGATTCTTCGGAGCTCGCACACTTATTTCGTCTTACCGTTCTAACGATTGCGAAAGGTCGAAACTTGGCAACATTTAACCTTTTCCACTCGTATCATATTATTA